TCCCCACACAGACAGGCATCACGCCCATCAGCAGGCTGGCATGGAGAGGAGGGCAGAGCCACAGCGGAGAGACCCGGCTGGGTTCCCTCCTCTAAGATCCTGGAGGACAACTGTGACATAACAACTTAGTGTCTGTACCTGATTCTCAAACAATGCCTTTTATTGGAGGTAAAACCCTGACGCTTATAAATGCTTATTCCTTATTGTACTAAAAGGTGCACTGAACTCATCTTTTTGGGCTTCTTATATTCAAAATATTGCTCACTAAAATAATTTTGACCTCTGAATAGGATCACGACCTCTAAGAATACACTCTATGATTAACTGGTTCAATTTTTCAATTTCAAAACTCCATAACTGCCCTCTGGAGATAGGAATACCATGGAGCTACAGACCTTACTCCCTGAAGCAGATCTCAGAGGCCAGGATTCATTAGAGTTCATCCTTCACCCAGGTCTCTGGCTATGAGACAAAGTTTAGCGGAATATCAACAATTTTAGGAAGAACTGTATGATCTGTCATGCATTCTTCTTTTTAAAGTGTTTTGTAAGTGGTGCTCCAAATGCAAAAATATGGTTGTAAAAACCGAGTATTATATTTTAATAGAAAACACTCAAAAACTGGGCCCTGAGTCAGCAGGATGATCATGACAAGCTCTTTGCCCAAGGAGCACTGTGGCCTCGATAAGTCGCACAAGTTCAAATGGAGAACAGGGGCTCAGAAAGAGGACCCCCTATGTTCCCCCAAGGCTGAGCCCTCACTTCTGTTTAGAAAGGCATTAGGTGGACAGTCCACTGCAAACGTGCCCTGCCGTGGGGTGGGTGTGTGTGTGTGTGTGTGTCTCTCTCTCTCTCTCTCAGTTAAGTGCGCTCACCGAAACGAAAGTAAAACAGTGGCCGGTTTCCTGCGGTGCTGGCCGCCCGCTCTCTGACCGCGGCGTCTCGGATGTCACACACCCCGATGTTGCCAGCCTGCAGCATTCTTCTCGGGGCTCCTTCACTGTGCTGCAGTCTACACCGGACCACGGCAGCTCCATTCGCTGCTGTAACAAGTTGAAAAAAAACTAATTAATTCAAACTTTAGTTTTTTTTAAATTTGTTACAGCACCGAGCAGAGCGGCCGACCCCATGCAGAACAGCATAAAGAACATCAAAGGGACCACGCCACACAGGGCCACCCTCAGCGCTCAGCAACACGGGTCAGCCACGTTCCTGGCACTGTCGCAGCTCCAGAGCCATCTTCTGGGAAGGTGCAGAACTGCTTCTGTTTCACTTTTGTTTCGTAAGGCACGGACAATAAAATCTAGCAACCCAAAGGGCCTACAGTCTCCCCACCAGCCTTCCTCCAAGACCAGGAGGGGCCACGTGCAGACAGGAATTCATCACAACAGCTCTGCTGGAGCACGAGAGGAGGAAAGCGGGGAGACCACATCTAGTCGTCTGCCCACGTGTGCTCTGAAGTCTCTCACACATGGGGTCAGCTAGACAACACACCTATTTTCCATCCACTCAGACAGCGCAGAGCTTCTTCCCTTTACAGACTAGACAGCAGGAAAACCCAGGCCGTCAGCTAAGGCAGGCCTGTGCAGCCGGTCCATCTTTATGTTAACTCTCTTAAGTACGGAGAAAAGAAAGAAATCACACACAACCAAACAAAGCTAAAAAAGCAGCAGAAACTCAACACACAAGTTAAGTGTCCTGGAATGTGAGCCACAGGTGGGGACACTCCTTCTGCGCCCATAGCACTGGAGGCTGTGTCACAGCCCGGAGAGCCGGTGGGCCTGTGCTGGGCCTGCACATGCAGACTTGAACCTCTTCTAGCAGAAGCGGCTCAGCAGAGCTTCACATCTGTTCCAACAGTGAACAATGGAGAGTCCATTTCCAGTGGACAGTGTTGCTGTCCTTCCTCCTGGAGGACTTGTGTTAGCTTTAAGCCTTTCCTGATGCCCAGAAAATTCTCAAGGTTGCCCTCGGGCTGAACTGAGCTTACATCAGAACGGAGTGTTACAACTGCAGCCCAGTATCATCTTCCTTTCCCTGAAATGTACAGAACCCAGCTCGAGGGCAGAAATTCTACACACTTGCACACGTGAAAATGCTGGAATTAAACAGAATTTGTACTTGGGGAAGAATCCATTACGTTGACAATCACGTTTCAGAAAACAACCAACCTTTATGATTTTATAATACCAGGCAGGATGTTACATCATTTTCTAAATTTCTAGATTGGCCCTCCACCCCCAACCAATGACGTCAATGAAAACCTTGGATTAATTTAAACCATTATCAATAAATTTAACTCACTAAGACAAAAGTCATGTTTAAACCATAAATGCTCTCACATTTTTTATGATTATAGCCATTTTAAAGTAATCAAACATACTACTGCAGCTCTATGAATAAAGTACCTAAACTTATTAAACTTATTAGGCACATTTATAGAAAAGTCGTATGTATCTTCTAAATTCACAAAATATCCTGCAATCACACAAAGGAGTAGGATGTGCCTAGTGCCACCTCAATGGCGTGATCTGCATGCAGACTGGGGACTGAGGGAGGACTTGTGCTCAGCTGTTCTCTCGCATGTTGCAGTTAACTCTTAAAATGGGATGCTTTATGCTACTCATCAAGGTTTACATACTCGGAGGCTGGGGCAGGTAGGCGCCAATCAATTTCGATCTCTTCTTTTCATATCCTTTTTGTGTGATGTCACCTGTAAGAGAAGGAAAGGGAAGTTCAGAATGCTTTCACAAGTAGAGCTGAACACTCAACTGTGAAGACACAGTCACATCTGTGTGTGTCTTCTATTTCCTTATAATTTAAGAAGAAAGCACTCCGTATCATTCACCTTGACATTTCCGCTGCTCACAAATAAATACTCATTTAAGTTATATAAAATCCTTCACTACGCGCAGACATGCTTGTCCCTGGCCCCTTCTCACAAGGTTTTGGCTCTGATGGGGTCCCGAATTAGATTCTTGCAATCTTATTCACATCTGTGGGGCAGGAAACCTCCCCGATCTACACGGCTCTCATTAACTCAATCAACAACGGATTCTGCAGGTGTCTACCCCAGTGAGAGCTGGCCAAAACCACCACTGATTAGCATCTTCCTCCATTAATGAGACTTTTTTCTTATCAGGTGTGTCGGTCCCAAGGACTATACTTACTGCTAGTGTATTTTTGAAAATGTCTAAGACGAAATAAAAGAGTAGATAAAACAAAGCAAGAGAACATAGGACCTATGGAATCCAAAATATATGAGAAAGAAGCTTATCAATAAAACAGGAAGTAAATTGCTGATGCCAGAGATTCAAGAGCCATTGCTAGGCTGGCATTTTCCCCAAGTGCCAAGTACCTGGGACAAATAACCTTTATGACGTGCAACAGCCTTGCCCAATTACAAGCTCGAATGTACCCAAAATGCTGACTTGTGCCCTTGAATTTTTCTGAAACTGTTAAATTTTTTCCTAATATTCTGACCAAGCCATCATTCCTAGAAGAGCTAGACACTAAAGTTTTAATAAAAATACAGCAAACAAATGAAAAGTTATAATGAGTCACACACAAGTTGCTAAGTCCGCTTTTCCTGGTGGTGGCGCTCGCTACATTTGATCAAACCAGAGGGCACCCTGACCCAACCAGCTCACAGCTCACTGCAGTCTTGTCCAGCCCACAAAACACATGATTAGTTTATGCACATGGAGCTGTAAACAACACAAATATATGAAAACACATCCCGCTATTGACTATTGAGCGTTTTTGGTGCTAAAACAAACTGACCGCTCTTTGAAGACAATAAAACTACGAGAAAGCTATTTTTTGTGCTAATTGTGCTGCTGCTCAGCATTTTATAAACTCAAAACCAGTTTGCTCCCTGAGGGGATGCCTAGAGGAAAACAGAAGCACGAGACAGGGAAAGGAGCACGTGCGTGAGGGTGTGTTGGTGGGAAAAGCACATACTGGCCTGTTGGGAGGCCACCTGAGCACAGGGTAGACACCTACTGTTTACCGGGTGTTTCCCTCTGGTGCTCTCCCTTTCCCAGCCAACCCCACAGCTGCTCTGCACAGTCCTGCCATCAAATCCTAGCCTGATGAACCAGCCCCTTCCAGCTTGTTCGTCACCCAAAGCTCAGCTTAAGTTTTGAGGAGATCAAGATGGCAGAGCAGGAAGATGTGGAGCTCACCTCCCCCCATGAACAAATCTAAACTACATCTACGTGTGGAACAATTCTCACCGAAAACTAACTGGAGACTGGCAGAAAGACTCCTGTACAACTGGGGCTATAAGGAAGAGCCACATGGAATAGGGTAGGAAGAGAAGTGATCAGGTCAGGAGCTGTGCCCCACGGAGGGGACTCAGAGGAAGAGGGAGCTCACAGGAGCAGAGATCTGCCCTGGGGAGCGAGCGGTTCGGCCACAGATCAGGCTCCCTGGTCCTGGGGTCTGACACAGTGAAGATGAGTGCCCTTGGCTGGTTGGAGGGTCCATGGACTAACAGGAGGGCTGTGGGAAGCCTGGGCTCCACGGTGAGGAGTGTGCACGCCAGCTTGCTCCCATGCAGGGTGGAGTGAGGGCTGCTCCAGCAGCTGCTGGTTTCCCATAGCCTCAGCCAAGCGACCGCTCCAGTCCCGCTTACTTCATGATGGGGAGAGGGCCCAGCTGTAAGACTCAGAGCAGCTCAGACCCAAAGCAGCGACTGAGTGGGGTGGCGGCAACCACTAGCAGCGCTTACACAGGTGGTGAGTCAGAAGCAGCCCTGACCTCTGTCAGCAGCCAAACCCCCCAACCCCGCTGACAGCCCACACAGGCACCTCTTGCTTCAGCACTGCTGGGGCGAGGGGACTGGTGCGGGGAGCGTGGAAAATATACACTTAAAGGGAATGGAGCCGGCTTGGACCTGACCCTCAGGGCTTCTGCTCCAGCAACTTGGGACCCGGCCCGGCCCTGATAGGGTGTTGACGCTATCGAGCAGAGGGGAAGCCCAGCTCACACCTGGCTACAGCCCTCACCCCTCCCTCTTCAGCCCCTTCTCCTAAAAGTTGAGAGCTGCTAGCACACCCTGGGGTAAGACATAACTTGTGCTCACAACAGATAATGAAGCAAAAATAAACAATTTACCAGATAAAGAATTCAAAGCATTATTAATAAGGATGCTAACTAAACTTGGGAAAGGAATAGATGAACATGGTGAGAATTTTAGTAAGAAACTAGAAAATATTTTTTTTAAAAAAGAACCAGTCAGAATTGAAGAACACAATAAGTGAAATGAAAAACACACTAGAAGGAAAAGCAGATTAGGTGATAGTGAAGAACACATAAGTGATCTGGAAGATAGAATAATGGAAATCACACAAGAAGAACAGTAAAAAGAAAAGCAAATTTAAAAATGAGAACAGTTTAAACGATCTCTGGGACAACATCAAGCACACTAACAACCACATTATGAGGTTCCAGAAGAAGAGACAGAGAAGAGGGTAAAAATGTATTTGATGAAGTTATGGCTGAAAACTTTACAAACCTAAAGAAGGAAACAGACATCCAGGTACAGGAAGCAGAGAGTCCCATCCCAAACAAGATGAACTCAGAGAGACCCACACCAAGGCATATCATAATTAAAATGGCAAAAGTTACAGATAGAGGATTCCAATGGCAGCAAGAGAGAAACAAAGAGTCTCATTCAAGGGAACCCCCATAAGGCTATCAGCTGATTTTTCAGCAGAAATATTGCAGGCTAGAAGGGAATGGCGTGATACATTTAAAGTGCTGAAAACCTGCAACCTAGGATACTCTCCCCAGCAAGGTTACCATTCAGAATTGAAGAAGAGATAAAGAACTTCTCAGACAAGCAAAAACTAAAAGACTTCATCAATACTGAACCTACCCTAAAAGGAATGTTAAAGGATCTTCTCTAAGTGGAAAAGAAAAGGCTACAACAAGAAGAATCTATACGAAAAGAAAAATCCCACTAGTAAAGGCAGACATATAGTAAAGGCTGAGGATCAACCATTTAAGCTAGTAGAAAGATTAAAAGACAAAGTTCAGCTCAAGTTGTAAAAATTTCTCAGATGAACATTTAAGTATGGGGGGGGGGTCCCCTCCCTTGAAGCCAACCTCAAAGGACACTCACTATTCACTCTCATTTTAAATGTGGTCTTACTTTGGAAAGCTCCAGTTGTTAAGATCCTGGCCTAAAGGAACACAGGCGCTTTCCGCGTGAAGCCACAGCTCCTCTTTAAAGGGGAGATGTTAATGTCGGCCTCACAGGGGCGTCCACTCAGGTTCCTGACCCCACAGACTCAGCAAGGCTGGGCGGGAGGCAGAGTCAGTACCTCCACACAGGTGTTCTATTTCAGCTCCACTACTAAATCATGCCACTAAGTCATATCGGAGAACCTCCAGATATGACTCAGAAATCCCAGGCTGCTATCATCTTTCGAAACCTAGAAGACGGAAAGGGAGACACTATTTATTGAATAACTTCCACACCCCACGAATTTTATCTAAATCACAGGTTGGAAAACTACAAATCCAGCCTGTGGGCTGTTTTTGGAAATAAAGTTTTACCAGCACACAGCCATACTCCCTGGTAAGCACCACAACACACAGCGTGCAGACTGCATAGCCAGAAGTATTAACTACACGGCCCTGTCCTATGCGTCCTAAATAATCTCTTTTAATCCTTATAACAACTGATTTTACAGGTAAGAAATCGAGGTGCAAATAATGGTTATATTTCTCGCCCAGGCCCCCATATCTAAGAAGAAAACCACCTCTGTCCAAGTCCAAAACTTTTCCCATGAAAGCCACACCCAGAGTCCCCACTCGAGCCTCCACTCTGTGACCACTGGTCAACATTCTTGCCACCTGATGTCCTGCCCAGCTCTCCGCTTGATCCGGACACCCTCCTCAGGGACAACCTCTCACCCCACTGCCCGTTTCCATGCCCCCAGCCCCTGCCCTGTCTCAGTGACATCCCAGCCTTGCGCTCTGGCCACACAGACTTCTGCACAAGTCTCATGAGGCCTCAGAGGGCTGCTTACAGTTTGTTTTTGTAACATATACGAGTGGCTTATCTTCAAAGCCAGGCTGTGACACCTTCACGGGTCAGTGTCCTACAGAACCGAGTATGACCCCTCTGTTTTACAGACCAGGACTATGTATTGATGGAGTTAATCACAAATGAGCAGCAGACACCAACATACAGAATGACTTCAAATAAGTGACTGGACAGATGCTGCATTCATAATCAGCGAAAATGCCTGGTGATTGTTTAACTGTTTAGTGGCCACATGTGGGGAAAGGACAGAGGGAAATCGATGATTATTCCATTATTAAAGTGTATGAAACACCAGCATGGCTCATGTGTTACGTAAAGGATCCAGCGTCTGCGGCAGGAGCAGGTTCCTCAGGCGTCCCAAGCATGAGGGCTAAAATGTCCTCGCTGCGTTTCCTTCTCCATGCAGAAAGTCCAGTTATTTTTAACTCTGGAGCTACTTTAGCATCTGGTAGACTGAGGTCCAATAGACTATGTCAAACTCGCTGCAAATTTATATAAGTAGGGCGATCTTGTGTTCTGAAGCAACCAATGAGGATAATATAGTAAGACAGATAGAGAGGTAGATGAATGGAGATAGAAAGAATAAACTGAAAGGATAGATGACTGATAGAAGGAAGAAAGATGGATGAAAGATGGGTAGGACAGACAGAAGC